GACTTTAGAGTCCCAATCAGATTTATAGCACAAGGATGACTTGGTCTCTGGAGTGCCTGATACAATTGACAGAAATGTTTGTTGAACATATGGTGATCCCACAGATAAATATTTGCAAAGAGTTATCACATTCACCCAGGGAAGCTGAACTGTGGTCAAGCTCAGCAAATTAACTGAGCAGGCTCCTTTACTGGCACAAAAAAGAAACCAATGGTGTTAATTCTGACTATCAAATAAAAATATGCAAGCCAGGTTTAGTAGTCTTTTAGTGGGTCAATAAATCAGAAACTTTTTCCTATGATTATTATAGAAATAAAGATGAAAGAAAGAATTAGTGTAACTTGGACATGAATTAAATTCTTTCTGACTTACAGATCTTCTTTCCACTTCCCTTCCTTTCAGAGTAATTTACAGTACGGTTACTTCTTCAAGCAGTAGCCTGACTTCATAAATCAAGATGTTAATATAAAACACATAAATGATCAATCCAGGAATCATCAATTAAGGCCAAATAAATTCCCCTCAATACTAATTCATAGCTCCATTGGGAGAAGTTTTTTTCCTCCCACTTGTTTGTACTATAGATATCCTGGAGTACTTCTATTAGATTTCCCACTTGATAACTATCCTTGTCCTACTCCTGTAACTAAAATGGCAACCACAAGACATAAGTCATAATTCAGCCATTAAAAACTAAAATGGAAATACATCTCTTTTTTCCTCTTCTCTATACTGTGGATAACTTTAAGTTTAACAAGTACAAGTTAAAGTGATGATGATATAAAAATCATAATAATAATTTGACTGTGAAATATTTCCTTCATGCCAGATTCCATGCAAACCATGCTAAGTGTTTAACCTACACACTTTTATTTCCTTCTACTACAATAATAAGAGATGCCTATCTCCCTTGACCTCTCGCACTCTCTCTCTCTCTCTTTCTTCTCCCTGTCACACACACATATGTGTAGCCACACACTTTAGAAAAAACAGGGTTCAGGGTGGTTAATAATTTACAGTTAATAAGAAAGTAATAAATTCAAGCTTATCATACCACTCAGCTAGGAACTCTTCTCCATGACACACTGCCTCTCCGCCCATTGACCACATTCCTCCCAACACAACCACCTTCTTCCTTCTACAACCTCTTTCTCGAAAGGTGTAACACGTATCTCTCCAATGTGAAAGTAGACACATACGCATGCATGTATAAATATAATTACACATGTGTGCACACATGTATGTATGTGGATACACATGTACATGGTACATCTATATGCACAGTCAAAAAGTCACATACACACAGAGCACATATGTAATGCAGAGTGTCCCATACAAACCTGATTTTAAGATGTGATGTGAATTTTATCCATGCAACATAGATATTAATGGGTAAAGCCTTAAGCACCAATGAAGTAGAATATAAACTATTAAAGATAAGTCTGGCAAATATTCACAGAGCACTGACTGAGTTACCTAGAGCTTATGCCTCTTCTCCTGGTTCAGTGCTCACCATAAAGATACACTCTTCCTCCTACATCCTTCTCTGGCAAGCTGAGCTCTTCCATGAATGTCCCACTGCCCCATAACTTGGACAAAGCAAGAGATAAATGGCAAACATGCCTTTCTGTGTATTTGCACCCATGGTAATTGGTGCTGGCCTCTTTAAGGCACTTGAATAGGTTTTATAGCATGAAAAAATGACAATATTATGATCTATACCATGCAAACACAACTGTTTCATTCACAGTGTTATGTGTGCATGTATCATCAATATAGGTTAAGTACCTCTTATCTGAACTAGTTGGACCAGTAGTCCTGGGCATTGTTAATACTTTCCAATTTTGGAATGTCTGCATACACATAATGAGATGCCTCATAAGTGGATCCTAAGACTAAATAAGTAATTCACTTGTTTTATATACATCTTATGTGATACACATAACCTGAAGATAATTCTAGACAATAGTTTTAGTACACCTGCATTTCAGCTGTGATTTGTAATGTGAGTTTAGGAATGGAATTTTCCATTTGTAGTATCTTGTCAGTACTCAAAAATTTCTGTATATTGTATTTCACAGTTTTGGACTGGAGTGCTCAACCTGCAAAATCTCCATCTATAAGCTGCTTTCCATGGGTAAGACACATGCCTAGGAGGCACATACTTTTCCTGTTCCCATATTACACCCAAATGTACAGACCTGGGAGAGTTGAGAGACTCACCCAGTCTCAGGTCTGAACATGTTCGCATCGTGATGCCTGTGCCCCTCTGCTTAGCCACAAATCACACTGCTTCTAGGGTCCCATTTGCTGATGGACAGAGAAGATCCTTGGGACAGAACTGAATGACCAGATGAGGCTCACACTCACAAAACAGGTGATCTTTTACCTTCTTCATTCTGAGAGTTACCCATGATCTGCTCTGTGCTAGTGAAGGAACAGATGTTTAATAACTTTGCAGCAGCAAGGAGAAGGTTACATAACATGGTTGAGCTATTTTTGAACTTTGTAAAATGCTGACTGCTCTTTTCCCAGTGTCTTCTGTACAGTCACAAATATTAAACATGAAGAAAATTTACTAAATTTGAAATTTTCCTAAATTTCCTGATTTTCCTAAATCACAGGGGTAGAAACAGGTTCATAGTAAGATCATGAAGACACCAACTTATTTAGTGCATTTAATTTTTAATTAATGCCTTTAATTTTTTAACAGTGTTCTTTGGGCTTTCTCCAGCTCCCAGGAAAAGGTGATCTGGTGGGGCCCCATTCTTTCCAGGGCAGGAGAAGAGGATTTGTCATTATTTAACCGCATGCTCGGTGTGACCACTAACAGCCCTCCATGAATGGAGAGATGTTTCATTAAACACGGAACAGTGGATGACAACTTACTGCCCTTGATGTGTTCCTTCTCGGAAATGGAAATGCTATTGACAAAATTGCTGCAGTCAATGACATAACTCCTGCAGGTAGCCAAAAGCCTCTCACAGGAAAAAGGTGGGGTTTTGTTTCGTTTTTGTTTTTATCTTTTGTCAAAAACAGAATCCATGATGGTCCCCGGAAAAGCATCTGAACACCTTTTCCATTATCCCTCTCAACTCCTTATTCTATATATACTTCCTGTCACTTGTCCTACAACTGAGTTATGTTTCCATTAAGATCATACATCTCTGCGTCTTCCAACCACAGTGCACATCTTATTAATGGGAGCATGAGTTCATTAGCCCAGCTCTGTCTTTGGGCTGGCAGCAATCTTGCTTTTGTAAGAGACTCCCACATCTTATCCTGAACTATCTGAGTTCCTTCCTGATATTTAGAAAATTATTTAGAAAGCTGAGAGTGGTAATGTAGAAACAAGATTATAAAAGAGGAGAAAAAGAGAGGGTAAGGAGGAGTGTCAAAGAGCATTTCTAATTCAGTAATTCGTTTTTCAGTTATGTTAATTGTAAGGAAATATATCCTGACTACATCTCACACACACTCTGAAAACCCCAATTCAAAGACAACCTCTGAGACACAGCAAACTCAAATCCCTAGTAGGTTCCAGAGACACTTTTTAAATGACATCTTACTTTGCTGGCAATAAACCCACATGGTCTGCTGACTGTAATTTCTTATAACCAAAACCTTCACTTATTTCCCTGAGAGTTATCAAAGAGACACAAGAAGTGCCATGAAGCACTGCTCCTGCATCTCTCCATTTAATATCCATAATGACCTCTAGCACACTGGTTCGCACAGCATGGCCCCAAACCAGCAATGTCAACATTCACTCAAGAAGTTAAATTATTGAAGCTCACATCAAATCTACTAATACCTGAGAAACTCTGACCATGGAACCCCACAATGTATTAGCAGCTGTCCCAGAAATTCTTGTGCATACTAAACTTTGAAAAGGACTGCCTAGAAAGTAGGAACTATTTACCATCACTATCCAATAAACATAGGAGACCCAGAAAGGTAGCGTAATTGTCCAAGTCCTCTAGAAAGTGGATGAAACATAATTTGAACTAGGAAAAGCGAACTCCACGGTCCAGTCCTTTACCACAGGGCCGCACTGATTATATGAGGAGGGATTAAATCAGTGAACATCATGGGACCATGAGTGATAATTCTAAATCTCAACAGTTGATACACAATTAGAGACCACAAGGAATGACGACACTTCCCAGAAATATACAGTTTCACTTAAATCTCCACCAGGATGAGAGTTGTTAAATAGACTATGATACATCCATATGATGGAGTACAATGTAGCTTTAAGAGTGAGGTTTGCCTGGATTTGCAATGACCTACAAAAACATTTAGAATATGCGAAGAAATTCAGACACAAAGTCAGAAAACAGAAGCGCCAGTATGGGCAGTTTTTCCAAAGCATACCGTGTTTCTGGGAGAGTTGGATGATTTTAGAAACGACTGTAAATTGATACTGTTTCTGTGTAGCACAATTTGGTAATAGACACTTAAAGTTAAAAATGTATATGCCTTATGACCCCAACATCCTACTTTTTAGAATTGAGACTAAAAAAACAACTGCATGCTTAAAGAGATAAGTGTGATAATTATCACTGCAGTTTAGCTTCTAATAGACAAAGTCTGGAGGAAAAAAATTAAATTCCTGCTATTGTGCAGACTGAATAAGTAAAAAATGGTACATGCATATTAGAGAATGTGACATGTATGTTACAAAGAATTTAGATTCACTTGTGACATAAATGGTAAGTCCTAAATGAAGATTTCTAAGATAAGCAGTTGAGTAAAAAAAAAAAAAGGTAATCTGCAGAAAACAATTAAAATATAATGTTACATAACTAAAAACAAAGTGAGATTAAAAGAAAGGGGAATAGAAAAGCGGGAAAAAAAATCAAAGTAAAAATCCTGTAAATAGGCACATCACATTGTCTATTTGCAATGCGTATTTCCATCAATAAGTACGTGAGCAAAGAGTAATGGCAAAAACCCCTGATCCCACTTTTGGAGAAAAGCAAAGAGCCGTCTCTTACTGGTGCAAAGTGTGAAGGGGGGCCTCTGGCTTCTCTGTCTGCCCATAGCAGCTGGCCTTGGCCTCGGGGATGTAGGAGTACTTCTCCAACATGGAAGATGCGGCAGTGGTTAGGATGCCAAGGCCGTCCCGCACTCTCGCCTCCAAGCTGTAGTCCCAGTCATCATAGGAGACAGAAATGAGGCCTGATGGAAACTCTTTGGGAATGAGCTCCGTGTTCCCAGACACCAAGCTGGGGACAATCCAGAAGAAATCATACCCAGTGAGGCCAAGGGAGCGAGCCTCACTCAGAATGAGGACAGCCTCGTCTTTGGAGCAATAGAGCAAGATGACAGAAGAGTGAATCTTCTTTAGCTGGACTTGTGTCTTCGCATCCTCGAAAGAGGTGTCCAGCGTGATCACGTTCTGCATGTCCCAACCCACAAAGCTGTTGTCCACTGTTGTCTTGATGAAGCTGATAAAGTCCCTGTAGCCAGGAAAGATGGTGGTCACCAGGGAGAAGACATGCCAGTCATAATCCTGCATAATCTTCAGCATGACCGTGGCTTGTTGCTGGATGGATGCTCCAAATTGGAAGAAGGTAGATGTTGGGTCCTGCCAACAGGCAAAAAGAAAGGAAAATAGTATGAGGCAAAAGATAGTATATGTAAAACCATCTTTATGGGCTTAAAGAAGCCCCTTCCTGGAAGTAGGGGAAAGACACATCTACTCATTCAAAAACATTCCTGAGCACCTATTGCACTCCTGTCTCTGGCACAGATACTGAAAATACACACTGAGAGAAGACCCTGGACTTAGGAGCCCAGAGCCCATAAAGGGAAAGACATCTGTTATTTTTGCTCACCTAACATCAATTCTTCTCATTTTCCTCTTCTACATCCTCCTATCTTCCACCCTCTGAGTATATGTGGTCCCAATAGAACAAACACTATCTGGTCCCAGATGCATGTTGAGAAAATGAAACCACAGAAACAAAATTGCAACAGAAAATACAGTTTCCCAAAGACACATTTGGAGTTTCTGGAGCCTGCAAGATTGAAGCGATTTACCCTGGATCTCTTGGTTATATGAAAGAATAAATTCCTGAGTTCATGTAAACCAGCATGAATAGAATTTCTGCAATTTAAATGTAAAGACCTCATGTAAAACAGACTTTCATAAGCACTATGTGAAAACCTATGTTTTTAATCAGCAAACACTTGCTGAACACCTTACGATAACATCTTAGCATTGGTGAACGTTGTTGTAGACTTTGAAAAATCATGATAATGTATGTGAAACAGACAGAGATGCGTCTATCCTTGAGATCTGATGGGAACTAAAGGGACAGTAGCTTCTGTGACCCAGGGACAAAGAGAAGCCTGTAGGAATGTGGAAGGAATATTCAGGTGAGGAAGATGGGCAGCAGTAACCATGACATGCAGAAGTGTCTTGAGGCACATTTTGACTATTGGGAGATAAAGGTATTAGAGTTCACGAAGCAGAATGATAAAGTGATACTAGAGGTCTTAGTAAGATTACAGGAGCCTTTAAGACTAGACCCAGAGACTTAGATTCTATCCTGAGTGTAAGGAGTAACCACCGACCGCTCTTCACACAGAAACTGGTATGTTAACTCATATTGGGCTAAAGTACGTCTCTTAATCTTGATGTCTCCACAAACTGATGATCAGGAGGACAGATTTTCATTAGGAACTGTGTGACTCCTCGTGATAATGGAGTCACACAATGTACAAATCATTTTCACACACCTTGATGTACCACACCCTCAGAATGACCCGGGGAAGGAAGAATGAGGCTCTGAAAGATCACGCAGTCAGGAACCTTGAGCCTGAGATCCCATGCCCAGCCCCTGTCCCACACTCAGCACAGCCTTCCTGTGATCATAAGACCAATACATAGAGGATACACACCCCACACAGATGGTCTGACATGATGCAAAAATGCCAGCTGAGCAAAAGAGATGCTTCTGTGTTCCAGCAAAACAGCACAAGTGCCAAGATTCATTTTTTCCTGGGAACTGAAAGAATTCTTAAAAGGTTCTTAGTTTTGCAATCACATTTTTATTTTCCATTCCATATTTAATATATGTAAGGAATACCACCTCAATTATATAATGTAGGGGGATTTCATTTGCATGCACTTGTATGTGTCTCTGTGAGTGTGTGCATGAGTGAGTAAGTGAGAGAGAGAGAGAGAGAGAGAGAGAGAGAGAGTGTGTGTGTAGGGAAGATGATACTACTTGTATCTTTCGTGACAGTTCAGCACTTTGTAGTTGTGTATGTCAATTCTTTCAGCAAGTCTATCACATCTTTCCCATGGATATTCACGGAAAGTTTTATCTAAATGGACCAAATGCTATAGTTCTTCAAAATGCTGCTATTTTTCTGAAATACTTGGGTTTGGAGGATAATTTGAGTGCAGTGTGCCCTGAAGACGGAGAGAAGAAATGGAAGTAAATGACTTTTAGACTCATTGCAACATTATAGTTCTATAAATTTCACCCAATTAAGTCAATTAAAATGAGTAACAGATTTAAAGACATAATTTTCTTTTTCCTTACAGTAACTTTTAGAAAAACCCAATATTCTTGAATTGATTAATCATTTCAAATCACATCTCAACAAGGCCATTAGCTTAAGGGCCGAGATTTTGTTGTCCTCATCTTTCTGGCCCCAGAACCTGGCAAAAGGCTTGGCCCATGACACACCAAAAAGCAGACAATGAATGCACCAGTGGATAACGTATGAGTCAAATCTAAGAGGAAAGCCCTTGCTTGAAGCAAAACATAAAGGGAAGAGAATTCAGTATCTGAGACTGGTTTTTTTCATTTTTTCTTTTCCCTTTTATAATTAGTGCATATTTGTGGTGTATAATAATTTGTCTCAGAGAATTGGTACAAATACACGTTTCACCTTGATCATTTTCATTTATTCTCCCATCTCTCCCATCTCCAGATGTCCTTTGCATCTCCACATAACCTATTTTCCTGCTTCTGATAAACTTTTACTTTGACTTTAAATTATTTACAGTATGGGTTTCTCATATGACCCTCTATGTTCATTTCACTTAGCATTATAGTATCAAGGCATATCCATGTTCCCACAAATAACTCAAATTTAAGCTTTTTTAATTTAAGATTAAAAAGACACAGAAAAGAAAAACAAAAAGCAATACAGACAGACAAACAACAAGAAACCAAATACAATAACAGTATAGTTTTACAAAACAAGATGATAGGAATTTGACAATGGTTGTAACATTGCATATTGTTATCTTTAAGAGGGTTGCTTAGATTAACAGATATGTAAAATTGATCTAAACATATGAGTATTAACTGTTCTTTTGTAATAACTAATTAGTAGTACAGTCATTTTAGTTATCACACACACACACACATTTATGGCTTTTCCTTTTCACTTCCTTCTTTCCTCCTTTCCCTTATTCCAATTGCTTTTCCTCTTTGAACAGTTTCTCACCCTTATACTCTTTTCATTGTAGATTTTGGAACATACATAATTTTTCCGTTTCTTACATTAGGGAGACAATACAGTATTTGTATATGTGAGTTTGATTTATTTCACTTATGAACATGGTCTCAAGTCATGTTCATTTACTTATAAAAGTCTTGATGCCATCATTCTTTATAGCTGAGTATTGTATAAAATACCACATCATTTTTATCCATTCCTTGGTTGATGGGATCTCGGGCTATTTCCAAGATTTGGCTGTTACAAATTGTGCTGCTATAAACATGGGTGCACATATATCACTATGGTATGATGTTTTCAATTCTTGTGGGAAAATGCCCTGAAGCAAGGTAGCTGGGTCAAAAGGAATCTCTAATCCTAGCTTTTTGAGGAATCTCCACAGTGATTTCCACAGTGGTTGCACCAGTATACATGCCCACCAACGGGGGAGAAGACTTCCTTTTTCCCCAACAGTCCCTCCAGCATTTGTTGTTGGTTGATTTCTTGATCTTGGCCATTGAAATGGAATCTCAGTGTTGTTTTAATTTGCATTTTCCAAATGACCAGTGATGTTGAACATTTTTTCATGTTTACTTGTCATTTGTATTTCTTCATCTGAAAAATGTGTATTCATCTCAGATGCCCACTTTTGGATTGGGTCCTTGAATTTTGGAGGCTTGATTTTTTTGAAATTCTTTATACGTTTTAGATAGAAGTCCTTTGTCTGAGGGACAGTTGGCTAAGATAGCTTCCCAATTTGTGGATTTTCTTTTCACTCTGTTGGAGATTTCCTTTGACATGCAAAAAATTTTTAATAAGACAAGATCACAGTTGTTGTTTCTGGGAAGTGTTTCCCATGTGGTTTGATTTTTGTTCATGAACTCTCTGCCTACTCCTATGTGGTCAAGATTTCTACCTATTTTGTCTTCCAGTAGGTTTAGTGTTTCTGTTTTCATCTTTAGATTTTTGATCCATGTAGACTTTAGTTTAGTGCATGGTGATAGACATGGATCTAGTTTTAGTTTTCAGCATATGGAGAGCCAGTTGTTCCAGCACCACTTATTAAAGAGGCTATCTTTCTTCCAGTGTACATGTTTCTCCCCTTTGTCAAAGATGAGGTGACTGAATGTGTTTGTAGTTGTGGCTGCTTTTCATCTTCTAATCTACTCCATTGATCTTCAGGTCTGTTTTTATTTCAATACCATGCTGATTTTATCACAGTAGCTTTGTAATATAATTTCAAGTCAGGGACTGTAATGCTTCCTGCCTTAGCCCAGAATTGCCTTTGCTATTTTAGGTCTCTTCTCTTTGCAGATGAATTTTAGGGATGATTTCTCTAGATCTGTGAGAATAATCATAATGCAAATGGCGTTATGATTAGAATTGCATTGAATCTATATAACAATTTTGGGAGAATGCCATTTTCACAATGTTTGTTCTTCCTATCCATGAACAAGGAATATCTTTCCATTTTCTGAAATTCTTTTTGATTTCCTTTTTCAGTATAATGTAGTTTTCACTGTATAGATCTTTTACTTCCATTGCTAAATTGATTCCTAAGTACTTCTTTTTTTTTTTTTTTTTTTGGATGCTATATTGAAAGGTGTGGCTTTCCTTATTTCTCTCTCAGTAAATTTGTTGTTTTGTGTAGAGGAATGCTATTGACTTTTAAGTGTTGACCTTGTATCCAGCTACACTATTGAATTTGGTTATTATGACTAGGAGACTTTCATTGGAGGTTTGGGGTCTTCTTGTAGAGTATCATATCATCTTCAAATAATAATAATTTAACTTCTTCCTTTCATACCCTTATTCCTTTTATTTCTCTTTCTTGTCTAATTGCTCTGGCTGTTTCTAGAATTATATTGAATAGGAGTAGTGATGGTAGACATTCTTGCTTGTTCCTGATTTTAGATTGAAAGTTTTCAGTTTTTGTCCATTTAGTAAGATGCTGGCTGTTGGTTTATCATAGATGGCTTTTATCAGATTGAGATAGAGATCATTTATTCAAATTTTTCTGTAAGGTTTTTTATCATGAATGAGTGTTGGGTTTTGTAGAAAGTTTTCTCTGCATCTGTTGAAATGATCATGTGGTTCTTTGTCCTGTCTGTGATATGGTGTATT